GGGACCAGCAAATTGGGTGCCCTTGATGGGAATGTTGATGCTGCTTGACACAATGGTAATATTGTTTGGGTAACGAGTATAGGATGAAGTTGAAAAACTTCTAATTGTGTATGACATAGTAACTATTTTTTGACCTTTTTTTTTTTTTTTTTTTTTAAAGGATTTGGACGTGGCAGAGGGAGAGGGGCAGGAAGGTTCTCAACCCAAGGCATGGGGTAAGTCACAGCCATCCTATTTTTGTAGTTATTTTCTTCCTTAGTTGTTTATTCTAGTTCCCCTTATTCTATCCTATACCTAATTTACTTATCCTGGTGGGTCAGATGTTTTCTACACTTAAAAAGATTTTACTAACAAGTGAAATAGCCTAAATAAAATTGATCTTTCAGTCGGCTTTAGAGCAGGGTTTTTAGCCTTAGCATTAACATTTTGGATTTAATAATACTTTATAAGGGTGGTGGGGTGCCCTGTGCATTGTAGGATGTTTAGCAACATCCTTCTTCTCTCCCTACTAGGTTCCAGTAGCACCTCATTTGATAGTGTAACAATCAAAATGCCTACAGATTTAGCTAAATGTTCCGAGGTGGGGGATGCATAATCACTACATAATAGCTGTGTTGGTAAATCCAGCTGTGAAAACCACTGCTTAATAGCTGAGTTGGTAAATCCAATAGTTTACCCTGAATACTAAGTAAATGCAATGCTTATTTATGTAAAAGTGGTAATTTTTTCCTGATCTGTAATAGTGAATGATGAACATACTACATAGTTGCTCAAATCAGTAGTTTATTCCTTGTTTCTGGGTGTTCTTTTACTTTTTGTTTGCTTCTAAAATACTAGCTCTCCCTGGATTTTTAGAAAAAGTTTTTAAAACATCTTAAGGAAGCCATATGTAGTGAAGGAAGGAAGGGAATTGGCTCAAGGAAAATCCCTTTGTTGCTCTATAGCTTCAGGGCAGCACTCTTATTAGAGTCGTGCCTTCTAGAGACGATGGTGCCTCCTACCATTTCCATTTTCTGCCTCAGCTTTCTGTAGAAAAAGGAGGGATGAAAACACAGGGAAAACTGGCAGGAACACTGAAAGATAGAAGCCTAACCCATTAGCTTTAAACTGTTTTGTGGATTTTTCTGTTTGCTTCATATTTGCTTTTGAAACTTTTAAAGGTAGCATTTATTTTGGCCCATATTAGACCTCTGAATCAGGATTCCTTATTAGTGCTTAGTTTAGGATTTTAATGAAAAGAGAGGTGCTGAACAAAATACTTTCTTCTTATCTATATCCAATGTTTCTGTACATAAATGAGCATGTAATTCTTTTGTAAAAGGTTCAAAGCCAAACTTGGATTCTGACATGGAAAGAAAAAGCTCATTGCCTATTTGTGCCTTAGTTTTCTGTTAGAGCCCTTATTTTGCCTTGATAGAGTATAGGTTTCCACATTCGCTTTAGGATGCAGAGGACAGTATTTTAGGAAAATGAGGCCATCATACGAAAGAGTATGAAATGTCCCTAGTCAACCTATGGCTTTTCAGATCTGCATCCTGATGTAAGGGAAGAAGAGTAAAGTCTTTTACAGTGACTACTAGAGGGGACTGTGCTTGTTTGGAGAAATATCATATACTGCTAATTTTGTGACTTTGGTGCTGCTTCATTTGTCTTTATTCTTTCTATATTTCAAACTCCAGTACATTTAATCCTGCGGACTATTCAGATTTGACATCTACAAACGGGTGTGGGACAAAACTAGTGGTTTCAGAAGCTGTGCAGAATGGTGCCGCTGAGGGAACTGCTGGTAAGTGTTCTGTTTCTGTCAGAGATGGATTTTAAATGTTTGAGCTATTCAGAGTTTTATGTTGTCATACAAAAGATTAAGTAGATGGAGAACAAAAAAAAACAGACTACTGTCCTACCCTCAAAACTCTTAGTTGATTTTTACCTCCAGAGTCTCTCATTTACAAACATTATTGACGACAAGGCATTTGATTTTCCTTGTGCACTCTGAGACAGGGGCTATATAAGGTAATCTGCATAAATCACAAATCCACACGCTCCATTTGCAGTGTTCGCAGATACATAGAATTTCTTTTTCTTTTTCTTTTTTTTTTTTTGAGACAGAGTCTCACTCTGTTGCCCTGGCTAGAGTGAGTGCCGTGGCGTCAGCCTAGCTCACAGCAACCTCAAACTCCTGGGCTCAAGCAATTCTACTGTCTCAGCCTCCCGAGTAGCTGGGACCACAGGCACGCGCCACCATGCCCGGCTAATTTTTTCTACATATATTTTTAGCTGTCCAATTAATTTCTTTCCATTTTTTGGTAGAGATGGGGTCTCGCTCTTGCTCAGGCTGGTCTCGAACTCCTGAGCTCAGAATGATCTGCCCGCCTCGGCCTCCCAGAGTGCTAGGATTACAGGCGTGAGCCACTGCTCGCGGCCCAGATACATAGAATTTCACAGGAAAAGACTTTTTACAGAAAATACTTAACATTGCTAGTGGTGGATGCTAACATTTCGCCAGATAATTAATGTAAGATGATGAGGTAGACAATGAATGGGTTTGAGCAACATTGTTTCTGCAGGTTTTTCTTTTTTCCCCAAAACAAGGTGCTCCTGTTTTGGGATCCTTTATTTTCTGAAATTCATGGGTAAATATTTGTTGTTTATTTATATAGTTACTCAGAGGATTTACTCATGGTTATATAAATTAGCTATTGGGATTATATTTATAAAACCATAATTTATATTTTAAAATTTTGTTCTGTTTTTTAGACAGGGTCTCTTGCTCTGTTGCCCAGGCTAGGGTGTAGTGCCATCATCATAGCTCACTGCAACCTCAAACTCCTGGGCTCAAGTGATCTTCCTGCCTCATGCTCCCAAGTAGCTGGGAGCAGAGGCACGTGCCACCATGCCTGACTGGCTTTTTTTTCTTTTTTTTTTGTAGAGACAGAGTCTCGCTCTTGCTCAGGCTAGTCTTGAACTCCTTCCTGGCCTCAAGCAATCCTCCCACCTCAGCCTCCCAAAGTGCTAGGATTATAGGCATGAGCCACCATGCCTGGCTATAAAACCATAATTTAATACACTGAAATATATCCCATAATATAGAAGTATAGATCAATAAATTGTAAAAAAGCGAACATCCATATAACATCAGCACTGTCCCAGAATCACAATTAATGGACTAGAAATAGAGAAACTGTAGAGGGGATCAGCAGAAGTTAGAAGTAGTCCCTGAGTAGGCACTACTCAGTCTTTGAACTGCTTTCCCATCAGGAATATATAAGAGTTCCTGTTATTACATAATCCTCACCAGCACTTGGTATTTTCAGTTTTCTTTTAAAGCCACTTTAATAGATGAATGGGCCAGACAGGGTGTCTCATGCCCGTAATCCTGGCACTTTGTGGGTCTGAAGCGGGAAGATCTCTTAAGATCAGGAATTCAAGACCAGCCTTATCAGGAGGGAGACCCCATCTCTACAAAAAAATAGAAAAATTAGCCAGGTATGGTGGTGCATGCCTGTAGTCCCAGGTATCCTTGTGCATTATATGGGAAAAACATATGAACATATAAATTCTGTTAAATAGGTATTATTCACCCATTTAACAGAATTAAGCAGAAAATTCATATTATTTCAATAAGGAAAAGCGTTTAACAAAATATCCATTCTTGATTTTTAAAAATATTTGGTAATCCAGAATATAAGGAAATTTTCTTAATCAGATCAAGGGTATCTGTATAACTTACAGCAAATACTATGGTTAATGGTGATATATTGAATATTTTGCCTCTGAAACAAGATAAAGGTGCTTGCTCTCACTGCGTCTATTCACCACAGTACTGGAGGTCCTAATCAGTGCAACAAGGGAAAAAAAAAGTCATCAAGGTTGGAAAGGGAGAAAAACTTCTGTCATTTTCTTGTGATGCTATAAAAGAATTTATAGACAAATTATTAGAATTGATGAGATAGCTTAACAAGGTGCTAGATACAAGTTCCATGAACAGATGTGTTTCTATAAACCAATAAACAGAAAATGGAAAAGTGCTGATAGTAGCTTCAGAAAACACCAAATGCCTAGGAATAGTAAGTCTTATGATATATAAGATTAACAGACTTCTAGCTAGAAAAACACAAAAGCATATTGATAGAAATTTAAGAAGACATAACAAATCAAGCGTGATAACATTTTAATGTATTTTAAATTTCAATGTTGTGAAGTTTAGTGTTTACTGACTCAGTCTTTGAACTTACTAATCCAAAGTAGTCTATCACATGAAAACTGTCCCCACTGATGTTTTTAAGAAATTGGGTTTATTGAGATGTAATTTATGTATAATAAAATTCACCCCGTTTTAGGGGTACAGGAGATGAATTCTAACAAACAAATATCGAATTGTAACCATCATTAAAATAGAGGTATGGCATTTCTGTACTAGAAATGAACAATTGCTAATTAAAAAGAGTAAAAAACCCAGTACCTTTTATAGCAGTACAAAAACTATAAGATATCTAGGTATGTCTCTGACAGTGTATTTGCAAGATTTGTATGTTGAATACTATGCAGCCAGGTAAGAAATATCAAAGAAGAGTCAAAAGGGGGGTACATAATCACAGTTCATGAATTGGAAGACTTGATGTTGAACTGTCATTTCTTTTCAGATTGATCCATAGCTTCAACACAATTTCAGTCAAAGTCTTATATTTTTGACAGCTTGATTCTGAAAATGTTTATATAAAAGGATGCCAGGCACAGTGACACATGCCTATAGTCTCAGCTACTAAGAGGTAGAGGCAGGAGGATACCTTGAGCCCAGGAGTTTGAGTGTAGCTTGGATATCTTAAAAAAACAAAATAATAAAACAAAACATAAAGAAACTAAAATAGCAGAATAATTTTGAAAAGGACAACAAAGTTCCATGACTCAACACTCCCTGATTTGAAGAACTTACTCTCAAGCTGCAGTAATGAAGACTGCGTGGAATTGGCAAAAGCTGTTACTGAAACAGATCAGTAACAAAGTCTAGAAACAAACACAGACATATATGGCTAATTGATTTTGTTTTCTTTTTTTTTTTTCCCCAACTACTCCTATAGATAATAGGCTAATCGATTTTGGCAAAGGTTATGAGGCAAATCAATACACTATGCTGTATACAGAAAAAGAACTCCAAGTTGATAATAGACCTAAATGTGCAACCGCAAAGTACAATTTACAAAAAAGTTATAGTGAAAAATCTTTGTGACTTTAGGTTAGGCAAAGATTTCTCATATAGGACCCAATAAATAGGAGTCATAAAAGAAAAACTTGACAAGAGTAGATTGTATTAAAAATTTTAAAATTCTGCTCTTCTGAAGACAATGATGACAGGCCACAGTCTGGGATAAAATATTTATAAAACCTATATTTGATAAAGGACTTGTATACAAAATATATAAATATAAATGAAATTTTATGTAATCTGTTTTGTCAGAATAAAAAAATGACATAGAGCTATATACATTAAACGTGTCAGTTCTCTGGCTTGTGAGATATAATCATTGGGGGAGATTTAAGGGTAACTTCCTATGAATCTATAATTATGTCAACATAAAAAGTTAATAAAAATTGAGTAAAAGACTTGAACAGATGCTTCATCAAGGAAGACATATGGATAGCCAGTGAGCTCATAAAAATGGACTCATCATCATTAGTATTGGTGAAATACAAATTAAAACCACAGTAAATTACCACTATTCATCAGTTTTTTTGTTGTTAAATTTGAGAAAGGGTCTTGCTCTGTCTCCTGGACTAGAGTGCATTGGCATCATCATAGTTCACTGCAACCTCAAACTCCTGGGCTCAAGTGATCCTCTTACGTGGGCCTCCAGCTCCTGAGTAGCTGGGACTAAAGGCATGTGCCACCATGCCTGGCTAATTTTTCTATTTTTTTGTAGAGACAGGTTCTCGCTCTTGCTCAGGCTGGTCTGGAACTCCTGGCCTCAAGGGATCCTCCTGGCCTCCCAAAGTGATTATAGGTGGGAGCTACTACAGTGGGCCCATTCATTTATTAAAATGGCTTTAAAAGAGAACTGACAGTACAGAGTGCAGAATTTTGAATTAGTCATTTAGCTAGTTTTTTTTCCCTGATTATTCCCCTCTCAGTTTTCCCCTTCTCCCTTCTTTTTCATCTCCTCCCACTCCTTTCTCTTACTCTCATAAAATAGCAGATTTGGTGCTGAAAAACATTTTGATAGGCAAAACAAGTTTGTGGTAGAATACAGTTAAAAGGTGTCATCAGCCGATGGAGTCGTGTTGTTTTGTTGGTAAGACAGAGTTCTGCATCCAGTGCTCAGCCTTATAGGCAGTATAGACAGTATAATCATAAAAAATCCATTCCCAGTGTGAGGAATACTCAACATCAACCAAAGTAGACAGACTGGTGTATGCTCAGAATGCTAATTTATAAATTTGCTAAAAAATACTGCCTGTCAAACAAACTGGAATATGCCATGTCCTCTTGGAAAGTAGGAAAGGAGGCTTGGTAAACTTGGGAATGAGAATGAGTATAGTTGATGTAATTTGACTGTTCAAGAGCCATCAGGCATAAGATTTATAGCTTGAGTCACCGTGGCCTGTCATACTATAGATTTCAGTAAGTTTCCCTCTCTTCTGACAGTTTACACAGCATATTCTTAGCTTCTGTTTCATTTGCTGACCAGTTTCTCCTTTGTTGAATACTTTCACTGTTTTGATATGTTAAACCCTTACATTTACATTGCTCCACAGAACTGACATCAAATGCTCACAGCGTAGTTCAGAATTTGTCAAACAGAAGTTCTTATAGACTCAAAGGTGTGAATGTTTTACTTTAAAATAAAAACTTATTTAGTTAAAAATCTTTAAAATTGGCCGGGCGCGGTGGCTCACGCCTGTAATCCTAGCACTCTGGGAGACCGAGGCGGGCGGATTGTTTGAGCTCAGGAGTT